TTCTCTTTTTCTGGTTGATAAATATCCTAGGTTAGGCACACAGGCCTAACATGAAGAAGCTACGAATTGTCTTCCTACCAGGTTTAGGTGTTCTTTATCATAAGATGAAACCTGAGATTGACAAGAAAAATGGGCTAAAAGATCTTTATTTGTAAGTAGAAGGCTTTCTGTTAATAGAAGAGCTACACAGATTATAATCTTAGTTTATGTTTGACTTGATACAATACTTTGTCTTATGGTATTTTCTTAAGTATTTTAGGAAAAAATTAGGAAAAATTATATCCTTTGAAATATTACCCGAGATATTTCTTCCTTATGATTAGAGCCGTAAGACATCATTTGATACCTGATAGTAATAATTAATAAATATAATCTGTCTTAATATCCTTACCAGTATAAATCTTACAAAAATCTCAGTATTTTTGTGCTTTATGAGAAACTATTATAGTTCTAATTAGTGTTCAAAGTCCCATTGATTTCCATTTATTGTCTGCTTCTTTACTTGTCTCAGAAAGATAGTGATTTTTAAGTAATGATAATTTTATTTAGATTAACTCCTCATTATGTCTATCCATTTATTATTTCTCCATTTATCTATTCATGTAATAAACATGAAACAAGAGTTTACTATGTGCTAGGTACTGTGATAGACCCTACAGAGACTGAGATGTAGCTTCTGCCTCTGAGAAATTATGGTCTATTCATGATGAAAAATGACAAAATAAACCTTTACACTATGCTGCAATGAATTTTTTAAATATATTAATAGTGTGAAAATATTTAAAGTTATCAAATAATATGAGATTTTAATATGCATAGATTTTTATTTTTAATACAACCTAGAATAAAATGTTCATTTTTTTAAAAAGATCTATTTGTTTATTTATTTGAAAGGCAGAGGTACAAAGACAGAGAGACAGAAATAGGGAAAGAGATCTTCCATCCTCTGGTGCCCTCCCCACAATGGCTGCAATGACCAGTGCTCGGTCAGGCTGAAACCAGGAGCCAGGAGCTTCATCCAGGTCTTTCATGTGGGTAGCAGGGGTCCAAGTCTTCTGATGTTTTCCCAGCAAGGAGTTCATTGGAAGTGAAGCAGCCAGGACTCAAACTGGTGTTCATAGGAAACACCAGTGTCACATGTGGTAACTTAACCTTGTGCCACAATGTCTGCCCCCGAAATGTTCATTCTTTACATTTTCTTCAGGACTTTGGCTTCTCAGTTTAATTTAATCATTTTGACCAACACTTAATAAATGGTCATTGTGAGCAAGATACCCCACTTGACACTGTGTGCAATTCAAATCTAAATGGAACAAAATGTGAATCCTTAAGGTGTTTGGTTTAACAGAGAATACAGACTATCTATAATTCACTTCAGTTAGACACACAGAATTTTACAGAAGCATAGGAGCAGAGAAGATTAACTATAAGAATTGTTCTTCAATGAAGAGTATGAAATTGAGCTGGGCCATACTGAATGAGATAATAGTTGGAATAATTTATTGAGAACCATCTATAAGCTAGTCACTATTGTAGATCCTAGAATCTTTAACTTTGTGTTACCTGTATCAGTTTAGAGAGCTTAATGAAAATGGAACAGTATTTGAAACTCAGTTTGAAATCTTTCTACTTATCTCTTAGGGAGTAATGGGGGTAAGAGGTGTTCAATGGGAAATAGTTAAGTCATATAAGCATGATGAAAGTCAAACACTTAGAGAAAGACAGTCAAGACCATGATCTCCATTAAATTCAGCTCCAGGGTGGGTTGCAGGACCCTCCAGACCCAGTTCACAGCCACATTGAAATGTGAAGTTTCTAACCAGTGTCTAGACTCACCAGACTCACAAAGAAATAGAAGATTAGAAATTTAGTGGCATCTTCTTTTAGATTGTATACATCTAACATCTGCTAGAATTTAGCCAAGATAAATATACTACATTTGTCTCTGAAATATGAAGAAATAGCAAAATTTTCCATGTAAAAATTAGATATTAGAGTTTTTTTTTTAAGTCTCTCCAAATCACATTGAAGAGGTCATAGCAATGGCCAGAAGTGTGGCCCAGATTCTTGTAAGACTTTCAGTTTGAAGCCTTGGATAAGTTTTCGTTAGCAGAGGCCGATGAGCGTAGTCAGGATGTGGAAAATGGAAGTGTGTAGTTGTGGAGGAGAAATTGCATCTCAGAAGGAAGTTTTCAAAACTTGTAGGAGGGAGAGATAGATAGTCATTCTACTGACCTCCTCACTTGCTTTTCATGTGTACAAGTCTGTTGTGCTATCTATAAAGGTAGAGAATTACAAAATATTTTCAAAGAACATCTAGAATATTGGCAACATTTAAAAGTTTGATTTTTTTCATACACTATCCAAAAAGATTTAAACAAAATTATTCTGACAGAATAATTCAGAAGAAATGTATCAAGTCTGTTAGGAAAGTTTTTGTTTATGTTTTCCTTTCATTGGCCTTTACATTGTTTTTGTTCACAAGCTTACTTTAAATTGAAACCATTTCTATTTCCTTCAAAAAGCATCAATTATCTTTTTTAAAAAAAATGGAAAAAATCATCAGCAAATTAAAGTTTACTGTGATTATTTAATGGTTAAATAAATTGTCTGAAAACACTTAAAGTATTACATATTTTTCTCAGCTAATTGGAGGAATATGAGAAGAGTGTGTGACTTTGTTCAGGAAGTGATTTTGTTTTAAGCAGATGAAAATTTTGTTTCCACTGAGGACTAACAATCTGATAGTTATTTTGCTCTAAGTTCTATTAAAAATCAGTATCTGATAAATTACAAAAATAATATTGGAACTCCTCTTGGTTGCTTCTTTTTACTTCTTGATATATTGAAAATCAGTCTCTGGTTTCACTTTTTGCTCCTACAAAATTAGGAGACTGTTTAGCCATTTCAACTCCATAAGGAAACTGCTAAGACCATTAATTTCCTAAAAGATTATTCTTGCCTTCAGCTTGTTCACAAAATGTTAAAATAAAATAAACACTACTGCCAAGCTCCTCTGTTCTTACTAGGTTAAATTTAAGGTTCTAAAATACTGTGATACTCCGAAAGAAAGCAGAGCCTGTTTCGCTTTACAAGACATTGATACTGTAATGACATACAATTGAATGAATAAGGTACAAGATTCTAAGGATTTAATAGTGAGATCTGTATGTCAACCACTAGTTTGATACAAGATGAATTTGGTTAGTTAATCACTGCAACTTTTGTAAAATCAACGCCTCTTTAGTATGCTCATATATGTGAAATAGCTATTTTGGGGTGACATACTGGTACATGGCAGTAGAGCCTTTTGGATTTATTTTGGGGGAAAAAAAAGAACTTAAAAACTGAATAAGATCTTATCAAATCTTAGATCAGTTACCCCTCAAGCAACCTATCCCACACATATTTATGTATGCATATGTACAGAAATGTGTATATTTGTGAATAATTGCAAAGACACAGAAAGAGAAAATTGAGAAATATCTCTTAGTCATTGGAGAATTTTTTTTCGAAGCATTAAAAAGCCATTTAAAATGATATTGAGAAACCAATGCTGTCAGGTTCAAAGTGTTCAATTTCAAAACCCTCAAAAAGACAAATATTAACTCTTTTTCTTAGACTGCTAGGCTGTATTTTGTTGACAGTAAGTGTAATCACGTTCCTGGAATGGTGTAAGCTATGTATTCTGTTAATATCACAAATGGTAAACAGACCTTAGACACCTGTATGTGGAAGAGGATTCTACTCGCAAGCCCAGTGGAGATGGCTGAGATACCAACCCAAAGAGTAGGGAGCAGGGCACCAGGACACAGGGGTTGCCAAGTTGAAATATGGGTTCTCTCCAACTTTATGTTTGCCGTTTGGCCTTGGGCTTTTGTTCAATATAACATTCAAATTCCTGGAAAAAACAGCTCATTCCAGTTCTGCACCTCAGTCCTTTGGGGGTTAAACAAAAAGATGAATGTAGCTATGAACTCTGTTCATCTTCAAACTAATGGACTCGCCCTCCCTCCTCCGTCAGTCTCCTTCCCCTCCTCTAGCACCCTTTGTCCACTTTTATGAATTAAAACATGCACACACACTCGCACACACAGGGAATCCTGCCCATTAATTAAAGGACTTGTCAGCCCCAATCCTAGATTCTTACAGTGCAGGAAATGTCTCTCCTTTTAAGTGCAAAACCATAACATTACCATTTCCCCAAGTGCCCTCTGTTTTAGGCTGCTTTCCTAATTAGAGGGATGATAACAGCCCTGCTGATTGGCATTATAAAAGCACTAGTTTGGCTTCATCTGTCCCAGGTGTGCTGTGTAATTTTTTTCTTCTCACCGTTTCAGAGCACTACCTCTCTCCTTCATTGTTCCTTAAAGTTTTCATCTGAGGAATTAATACAGATAAAAAGACATTAGAAAAGAAGC